AACGTTGGTGTATAACGTTATCCAAACCAAAACATAACCTTAAAATAACGTTATGTGAACGTTTTTGTGTTAGCTGGGACCGTCTCATTTGGAGAGTGGTTTAAATCGATTAATAGATTATTCTTGATATTAGATGAACAAACCGATAACGAAAGAATACGAACGGCACTTAGATTATTGACGGATGAACCAGCGTCTTACGCAGCCGAAATTTTTACGACTTACCCGGCGATAGAATGGCGGCATTTCATACAAATTTTACGTCAGCGATATACAGATTGCTCGGAAATTCCAGCAGCTCTGCAGAAATTCAAAAAAGCCAGGCAGCGCGCGTCTGAATTACGCCGCCTACCTCGCGCGCGCCCCCCCCCGCTGAATCCCGCTACTGGGACACGCGTTACGAAACAACGTCTGTCGAATCGTAGTCGGCCACCCCTAGGGCCACTACAGGTTAAATGGGGGCTCGTCCAGGATCGTTCGCATGAAGGAGTAGCAATAGCAAGCGTACCAGTGTTATAGACGAATAGTGAGCGGAGACAAAAACATGTCGAGTTTTATAAAAATGATACGGGGTTTTCTGACGCCCCAGGAGAGCCGATGGAGCAATGTGCAAGGCAAGGAGGCGAATGAGTCATCGACACCGCTGTGTGGACGGGGAAGTATGGGTGAGTCCATTATTTTCGGACGGGGACAGGTACCGACGACCAGTCACGATGGCGTATCCGCACCGGATGAGTCTTCTAGGGATAGGAAGAGATCTCAGGAGGCCGCCAAGGATTAGAGGGAGAAGATAACAGGATCAGGAAAGGGATTACAGGAAAGCGGGGAAGAATATGAACAGGAAAGGGGACAGAGAGACCACACACCCCTACCCCACGCTGGAGTAAGCCAGGAAAGCGTACAGAGAAACTGGGAGCGTCTGATTGAACACCACGGTAGCATTCTGAAAGCAGAAAACGGTAGTATGAATTCGGATTTCGCACTTGACAGGGAAGCAGAAATTTCACAGGCACCTGCGAGAGATACGGCTACGGTTGGGGATATGCCGTACACAAGGAGGGAGTCGATGCAGGACCGGCCTTTAGTGCGTGAGAGAAGTCCGTGGCGCAGTACACCTGTAAAGGAACGAAAGCCTCCAAACTTTAGGAAGGGAGATGGAATTGCCCTAAAGCACTTCCTGATAAAGTTCGAGATGACGGCTAGTTACAATCAGTGGCCAGAGAATGGATGGGGAATTCAATTAGGATTATGCTTGGAGGGTGAAGCTCTAGAGGTGATGATAGAGATGCCACGATCACAGCGTGCTGACTACGACAGGATGGTTGCCTGTTTGCAACGCAGGTTCGATCCGGTAGAGCGCATCCACGTTTATTAGAGTGAGCTATGCCGTAGGAGCAGAAGGTATGACGAAACGGCCGAGGAATACGGCGCTGTCATGCGGCAGTTGTTCGCGCGGGCATACCCTGGCATGATAGGTTATCAGACGGAGCAGATCTTGATAGATAAATACCTGGAAGGAATAGGAGATGTAGAAATACAACGCTACGCACTCTTGCAAGGACCAAGCACGCTAGACGAGGCTATAGCTCGGGTAGCACAGTATGAGGCCGTTACAAGAGAAACGGTACATCGTAGAAAACCGCCACCAGGTGAAAGCACTTACGTACAAGCTGTGGTGCAACCAGTGGATCCAGTGTCGAGCCTACGGGAAGAGATGCAAGAAGGAATGAGAAGCCTGAGACAGGAAATGGTTAGAATCATGAAAGACGTTGAAGGTCAAGGGCAACAACATACAGCAGAAGCTGGAGGCAGAGGTCAAAGGTCGGGAGAAAGGATGCAGAATGCACCATTCAGCAGAATGGCAAGGCCTCCACCGAATAGGGCAAGAATAGCTGAGATGGAATGTTATTTTTGCAGGAGAACAGGACACATGCAGAGAGATTGCCCGCGACGATTGCAATGAGGCAATGTTTCAGATAACCGCGCACAATGGACAGGAGTTGCCGAGAGGAGTCAGCGACTGTTAAACTAGGACGGGCTAGGAAAAGAGTCGGTAGCCTGGCCCATAGTAAGCCGACTGAGGGAGCTACACCACGATCTACTGGTTTCACTCTTTCAGAAGGGCAAGATAGAAGAAGGCGATGATACAGGAAAACACGTAGGGATTAAAATACCGATAAATAGAGAAAATAGTTCAGGCAAGGCTGAAGCCACACGGATACCTATTATCTCCGTAGCACCATTGCAGTGTCATCCCACGTGGGTGATACCTGTGAAAGTAGAGGGATGTGAAATGAAATTTTTAATAGACAGCGGATCAAGTACGACGCTGATAAATGAAGACATCAAAGGAAGTACAGGGCTACAGCTGATAACAAGAAAGAGGGATCTGAAGATGGCGAACGGCGAAGCAATGAATAGTCCTGGAGAGACTGTTGTCCGTCTAGAGATCGCCGAGCATACCTACAATAGGAAAACAATGGTTATTGCACAATTAGAGGATTTAGATGGGATTTTGGGAC